CTGGTATTACAGGTGTATGCCACCACGTCCAGCTCTGATATTACCTTTTTGAAAGTCTACTTTGCCCACGGAATTTTAAAATATGAAACAACTGAATTTAAGGAAACGAAAAGTTATTGAGAAAATAATACTTGCCAATTTTAGTCAACCTACGGATTAAATAGACTGTCGAAATTGCTTATGAAGGGAAATGAAATGATAAAACACATTTTGGAAATTCCTTATTTGCTGTTAAGTGTGATTGCATGTGCTAAGAATTAAAGCAAAATTAAAATCCTCATGGATCACTAAGTTTCTCTTTGTAGTTCACCGAATCATGCAATGAACTTGGAACATCTGGATTTACAGGCAGAGGGTTTTTAATCATGTTAAATGTTCCTCAAGAGCAATTTATGACTAATAGAAAACCGGAAGCATTCCAAGCACTAGAAAGTGTTTGATTTGTAATAGAAAAAAAAACCCAAGTGCGTACCCACACAAACACATCACTCTGCATACCCAGAATGATGCGATCCGAATTGCTGAAGGTCTTAATCGATATATATTCAATGTGTGACACTCAGTTAATACTTAATATTAAACAAAATATTTAATCTGAATTCATTTAGTATTAGTAAGCAAAGTCATGATATTACCTTTCAGGAAACTTTTAAATTTTTATATTAAAGACAAAAAGTAGGACTTGGGTCATAGCTCAGTGGCATAAGCGCCTGCATGGCAAGCGCAAGTTCCTGAGTTCGATCCCTGGTACGGCAAAAAAAAAAAAAAAAAAAAAAAAACCACCCCAAAATAACAGCAACAAAGACAAAAACAGAAAAAATGATACCGGATTTCAAAAGGTAAAAGCAAAGAGTCAAAGCAAAGTATGAGATGCAACACCTCTCCCCCGAACAAGACACTGAAATAATACATACAGTCAGGGCTCGTTTCAAACTCAAACTTGCGGCTGTTGGTTCCATATCCAGCTGCAGTTCGGGCTCGAATTTGGAATACATATGTAGTATCAGGCTTGAGGCTACTGATGGTAACGTTTGTGCCTCTTGCCCTCAAAATGGTATAACTTGTCTCTTGTTCCTGCTTTGAGGTAGGAAAAAGAATCATGTTAATATCAAATCTTCATAATGCTGTCAATTGATAAACAATAAACCACACAAAGTCATTTCTTTAAGATTTTAATGTAGAACATATGATGCATGAAAAAATGATGTCAATTACTTTATGATCTGGGTACAATAGAGGAATTCTTTTAACAAGGAAAATATTTACAGAACTTTCTAATTTAGATATAATGAGTTGTATGCTCTGTTAACTGTTGTTATATTTTATTCTTACCAAATAGTGAATATATGCGTGACAATATATTCCCTTTAAAGCCAAACTTGAGGGAAAGCTTGCAACCAAATTCAAAAGTAAACTGAAGAAAATATGCCTTTGAATTAACCCTCATAGGAATGTCAGATTGAGTCTCAAACAGAAAATTTTTCTATGAATTTTCAAATATTTAGATATAAAAACTGAGGTTAAATATATGGCCCAAATTTTCTCAGTGTAACTATATCTGGGTTGTACTTAATCTAAGTCAGTGTCATTTAGTAGAGACAAATATCTTCCTAGCAAACATAAGAAATATTTCCCCGTAGAAGTCTCCTCTAGGAGACTCACCTGTGTATTGGGAGACTCACACACCAACAGTAAGGTCTCAGCGCCATGTGTTGTTCATAAAAACTGATTTATGCAGAATCTTATTTTCCCTCTAATATGTATGATAATCAATTATAGATTTCATAGCTACAGATGCTGGCTAAATTAGGTAACATTTGAGTTACTATATTAAATACTAAAAAGAGTTGAATACATTTGTCTCTAAATAATGACAACATCTCAGTCATTAAAAAATTATTGATCTTGTTTTTTAAAATTATGTACTGTTTCTGTTTTTTATTATTTTTTATGATCTTTAAAATAAATATAAAAAATATAACAACCATTGTTAAATTCCTATCATATTGGCTTTTTAAAATTTTGTATAATGTCTAGGTATCTTATTATTTTTTGTTTTCTTTAAAATAAAATTTTTGAGAAAGTATTCAGAATCAGTCACTATTCATTATCATGAGCAAATTAATCAGTAAAGAATGATCTTGAGGAATTAAAATTCTAGTAAAACATTCAAAATATTTATAAAACATATGTACATTTGTCAATAATTATTAAATTCAAGTCTGAATGCTAAAAGTATATATATATATAATATTGAATATGTTCATAATATTGAACATCTCCCTGCATCAAGTTTAAAAATACTTAGAGAATGATTTTGGATCCAAATTGATCAGTATATTTTCAGAATAATAATAATGAATATTTTGTTGGTAGAACTTTAAATAAGTTCAGAAAATATATTTGCAAATAGTATGAACATAAGTCAACTGTATTTTAGAATCAGCTTCACAAATCTAAAATTGTTTTTGCCTTGTTCTTCAATCTAGTCTGAACTGAAGTACAAAATTAGTTTTCTTTTTATTTTGTTGGATCTTTAAGAAAATATAGTACCTTAAATCTACACAGTATGTTTTGTAATACTCTTAAAAATAGAAAATTACAGTCAAATAAGCACTTGGCTACAACAGCACTTATCCCTACTGTGATTTTGGCACAATTAAATTTACTCGGACTTTATTTTCTTCTAATGAAAAAGACACAATTTTGTCAGTAGCAAGGAGTATAAAAAACATGAAGTCATACTTGTAAAACACATTAACTTCAATGAAGGGGTTAACTACATCATGCAAAGTTATGTTTATACACCGTTTCTTGGTATAACTGATCATGGTACTTCTAAGGGTCCACTCTTATGTTGAAGGAGGTGCGCAGCGCGGGGGGGATTGCGCGTCGACCGCGTGTCCTAAATGAGAACCGACGGGTGCCGGCAGTCAAAGCAGAGCCTTAATGTTTATTCGCATTGAGGCTATGGAAATTTAACCAATGTAAGTGGCTGTCACTTTTCTTATTTTTGAAGGAATATATTTACCGAGTTTCACAGGATTATTGTGCAGCTCATATTTAAATAATATATGCAGAAATATTCTGTAAATGTTAACTGCTATATAAATGCACTTGGTTGTAATCTATTTTAAAATATTTTGTAAACAGCAGCAGGTACACAAATATATTCTGTTCACATGAGTAACTATAAAAAACCCTATCTGATGATAAAGTTTGAATATATCTTGCTGTCAAACTTTCTTATAATTTAAAGAAGAAAATCAGTGTTAGAACGACAACACATCACTGTCTCAATTCTATGTGTAATCATGTCCTCATTTGTAATGGTTGCATTACTGAACCACTGTTTTACGATATGAGACAAATTTGTCCATCCACCCTCCACTTCTAACTTTTCCTCTGCACAGTCACGAATGCTTTTCATTATTAGTTCAGTAACACAATGCCTTTATTATTGATGCCAATTTTTCTATCTATATTAAATGAAATTCATGTGAATATAGTCAGCAAACTGTGCCTGAGGCAATGAGCTAGAGAATGGGTAGTTCACCAACGGATTAAGGAATCATTATAAAATGATTAGTGGAGTGGAGGTCTCAGAGTGAAAGGATATAAATGTGTGGTCTGCTGTCATAATTAACTGGTTTAATTTTAGAAGTAGCATCTTTGATGCTGCTTATTGCTGTAGAATAGAGGATATTTGACAACACATTTTCTAAGCCCCATTCTGCCTATAAATCAGAGATCACTTGACCATGGTTCTCAATAGAGTTCTAGGAACTTATTAGTTATATCGCTGGTTTCCTTGCAAGAGCACAGCTCATGAGAAAATAGTCTTTCCCTATATAACATAAGCTTGTAACATCGTTTCCCCACCTTCTCATAATATTTGACCTCATAGTCCAAAATGATCCCGTTAGGATGCTCAGGTTCTTGCCAGGATAAAGAGATGCTGTTTCTGGATGTCCGATCTTTCTTAATGGTCATGACAGGCGATGGCGCTGTAGGAAGAGGAACAGAAAGGACAGTGCAAGGAAACAAGTTATTATGCTGGGGAGGGTGGTGGCGAGAGCAGAGAGAAGGGAACAAGCAAATGGAGTCCATTAATGTTCTCATCTTGGGTAAGAAAGCACTATTTCAATTTCCAAGGCTCATGGGTATTAGTCTTGCCCCATATCCAGCCCTAGCAGCTGAATTACAGACCCAGTCCATGCAAGCCTATGGAAAATGAGCTGAGATGTTCTACTGCTGGTAGACTAGTGGCAGGTGCACAGATGTTTTCAATCTGCTACTAATGTTAGCAATGAAATATATTTGATATATTAAAAAAAGAACAAAACACCAGGACTACATACTGGTTATAATGCTGCAAGACTATTAATCCCAGATTCTTTAGCTCTTTGATAACACTTTCATATGCAACCCTGCAAGAAGACTGGAATCCATTATGCACAAGGAGTCTCACGGTATCTACAGGTGTGTTAGTTACTTTTCTCTCGTTGTTGAGACAAAATACTTAACATCCAAAGTTAAAGGAGGAAAGCTTTATCTAGCTCATGTTTTTGAGGTCTCAGTCCATAATCAGCTGGTTCCAAAGCAGGGTGGCATGGCATGGGGCAGTAGTTCAAAGCAGCAGAACACAGCAAGAGCAACAGGCATGGGGGGCAGGCTTCTTTTTCTTCCTTATATGATAAGCAGGCTATCAGCCCTAAGGTGCATATAGCAGTCACACCATCTCTCTGCCCTCCTCTTGTGTAGGTCAGGATGTTTATAAAGTGAGGACTCTGGCCCCCTATTGAGTCACTTAGTTGAACTTCTAAATTTCTCAAGTTGACACAACGAACAAAATCCTAGAGATAAGGGCATGTCCTCTACACCCCAGGACATAGGACTGCTGAGTTACTTACTTAAGTTTCTAGAGTTTTCAAGTTAACACAATGTATCAACCATTAAAATAGGTGATAATAATATTGTGTATTGTAAAATCAATATGATTTAGGACACACTAATAGATCCTGACTCCTGACCCCCCTCCAAAATATTCTGGTACACAAATATACATATCAAGAAAACAACAATCTTCTTTTACATTTTTCTTTGAAAATATTTGATGAACATGATAAATATAAGATAATGTCTCTGCTATACGTTACATTTATGTATATATATTTTGAATATCTTATTTGATGATGACTACATTTGCTATTTTGTTATGTATTGTCAAATGTATAGAATATAAATTAAAAACATTCTTTTGGTTCAGATTTCTTAGTAACCTTCATTTGTAACTGAAGATTAAATATTTTTTTAGTGATTTCTTAGCTCAAATTCTTCCACTAAAGAGGAAAGTGTACAGTATTTATCAATATACTCCTGATTGCAGGTCTCACTTTGGTTTATACCCATCAGGTGAAGTATCTCACAAGAGTAGAAGGGCAGCTTGCCCTCTTGAAGCTCAGCAAACCAAATCACAAACACAAAACAAAAGCTCATTGATTTTTAGATATATGAATTCTAAGTAATATATTAATTCTTCATTGAATTATTAACATATTTAATATGAAAATTAGCATGTTTCTTATAAATTTGCTCAGGTCAGTGACTATTTGAACACATGTCAGTGCATTCTCACAAAATTTAGCAGGAAAGTTTCCATATTTGTCTATTTGATTATCACTAGATGACTATGATTATCACAAAATAACATTTTCATCCATCAACTCATTTAAACTGTTTATAGCTGCCTTTCATTTACATTTCTCACTTAAAAGTAAGATGTTCTTCATTTCCTGATGTGTGAAACTTCAGTGAGAATCCAGACATAAATTTTCAACCCAGCTGTTTTTATTGCTTTTAAGGTTTTGTAGCTCTTTTCTAACTGTTATTCTAATGGGCTGGAAATGACCACTTCGTCTTTTATCAAAAACATAGGTTTTGCACTTCCAGTGGAAAAGTAATTCATTTTTTCTTAATTTTATTCCATTAGTAATTAATATCCATTTATGTACATTAATGTCAGTTACTTTCCATGTATACATCTCATCTATTCAGTGTTCTTCTGTGGTAATTCTCTAATTGCTATCCCCTCCAAACCCTGTGGTGTGCTGCTCTGAAGTTGATTCCAAGCAAAGTTAATTCATTTCCATGATGTTTTATAAACATATTTGATGTTTTTAAATATATCACTGAAATTAACACCAGAATGTGGAATATTTGAGAATTTTTCTTTTAACATAGTCTAATCCTTAGAACAATCGATTTATTGTCCAATCACTAATGAAAAACTGTGGCCCAATGTCCTACAACCATGTTTTGCTTCTTGTACAAACAATGGGGAAATTCCAGTAATTTTTCTGCTGAAGCAAATCCATTAATAGTGTAACTTTCAATGTGTGCTTGCAAAGCGTTTCAAAAAAACTTTCCTTCTAATTCCTCCAAGCCCTGGGTTTAATTCCTTACCATCATGCAACTGTTTTATTTTTCCTACTGATTAAAATACATTTCAAAGAAATTTTAGAAAATAACCAGGTATACTATCTCTCCTTTAAAAAATAAAAGAAAGAAAAAAGGCATTTTGAAGAACAATTATAACAAAGATTGCACTAACTTTTTAATGGAAACTTTGCGGGCTGCTTTGGGGGCTTGCCCAGGTTTTACTGCTTCTGCACTGAGCAAGACTTTATAACTGCTGAATTTCTTCAAAGGCCTTTGAGCAAGCTGCAGGGCCCCTTTGGCCTGTAATAAATAGCCTTTTGTAATTCCACACTTACTTAACTAAAGGCAATTGCTCGAAACTTGTACCATCTCTGTGTTAAATGGACCTCTTCTGACTGCTGCTTTTCCGCCCCTGTTAAGTCATTTGTTCTGCTCTTTTAATACATGCCCCTTGTGCTGGATGCATTTCAACACAGTTCAGCTCAGTACACCGGCTGGGAGCCCACTACTTTAGGCAATGCTCATCAATATTGTAATATTAATAAATAGTTTACACAAATTATTCTTCTATCCTCTTATAGATAATCTTGGGACATTATAGCACATACTCATAAAGATAATTAGCACATGGGCACTTGATTGTATCAATTTTTTAAATAAAGTTTTTTAGAACACTTTGCAATTCAAATCATTTTCTTCTTTAATTTCTTTATTACTACATTTACCATACATGATGATCATATTAGTCAAGGAGAATCTGTACCTGTACGTAATATATCATAATTCTTTTTTTTCTCATTCCCATCTCTTCCTTTAAATCTGTTTTCCATTCCCCATCTACAGATCAGTTTCCATTACTTTTCCTTAAATTCTCTTTTTCTAAAATACCTTTTCTCTTTGCCCTCCCCTTTCTGTTCTCCTCCACATTTTAATAAGCTCTCCTTGAATTATAATTTCAATCTTTGATGAGAAAGTGGGATATGGGCTATATTTTGTCATTAGTTTTCAAGTTTCAATGTATGCTTTGTCCATTTATTAATTTTCAAATATGTAAGAAAGCATTCAGCTTCTTTTCTATATAAAAATGGCATTGGAATGTACATTGTAGGATAGATTTGATTTATTTTATTCTCCTTTCTCTTTTTTTAAACTTGTAATTTGTAAAATAGAAGGGTAATTGTTATATAGAGGGAGGGGTGGCTGTCCTGAAGCTGGAGAAATTCTGGGAGATAGAAGGACAAATTAAAATGCTAGAGAAAGCATAGGTTTCTCTTTGTAAACGTGTTGATATATAAGGTAAAATAGCAGATAATGCTAAACATTTCAACAGCCCAGGACAGAGTTTTAACTGTGTAGCTACAACTTAATAAATTACTAAAATGTTTCTCTTATTAAAAGAAAAAAGTTGGTGACAGCATAATACACTAAGTGGGTAAAGCATTCATGCAGATTAGGAAATGGGCAATTTTCTAGGGAGAAAAATTAAAAAAACAGTAAAAAGATAATTTGCAACAGGTAAAAGTAATTTTTTTAAATATTAAAAATGATGCTCTGATGTGTAAAGTACACTTTGTTGTACTATTATTTGAGGTGATGTTTGATTCTGAGCTTTTGTTATTCTGAATACAACCATATTTGTCCTAAAAGAATAGGACATAATACATTTGTCAGACTGACATCTAATGATTATATTTAACTAAAATATTTGTTGAAAGAACACATATGCAACAGAAAAAATGAAGTTTGGAAGGAAAAGGGCAGCTCATCAACTGCACAATTACAATTTTCTGGGAGTTAGATGGATTTGTGTTACCATACGATAAACTTCCAAATACTCCTGAGCACTTAGAAATCTCAACTTACTGCGGCATAGTAGGTTTTCTCATGGTTCTTATAATTCATTGTACTATAAAGTACACAGGCATGCAAAAAATATACAGAATCTTTAAAGTTTTCAAAATTACATTAAAAGTATTACAACTATCTTATGTTTTTGTTTTTTATCTTTAAAATAAAAACAATGCCATAAAATTACATTAAAACACACATTGCTAATGACTATGGGATAACTGTGTTCAACATGAGGGAGAATATTTTTTAGGGCAACAATTTCTGTTTTACTGCCTTAACTGTTTTAAAATTTAAACAGTCAGTGCATTTTCTGAATACACCTCATTGAGCAAACATTCATGGCAATTTTCTGTCAAATAAAAACATTACAGTGAACCCTCATCCACCTAGTCACCACATCCAGTACTGTGCTGCTTCTGGTGCTTCCCAAAATGACCATGAAATTCATCTTTGTGACTGAACTCAGGACAACGGGCAGCCTTAACAGTACAACTAAAGACGATCACAAAAAAGAACTTACAAAAATGCCTCAGAAAATGCCAAGAACGATGGGACACCTCTGTTCAATTAATGGATGAGTATTCTGGGAAGTTGTTAGTGTGTCTTTTACTGTAACACTTTTTCAACTTAAATATTCAATGTATTTTCCAACCACACCTTGGATTTCTTTTGTCACGACAGACTACTAGAAACATTTTCACCTTCTGCTATCTGT